TAAGGGGAGAGTGAAATGTCACTAGTCAGTCGTATTGTTTCAAAGTCACTTGGAAGGGTTACTTTTTGATGTAATTTTAAACAAGAAGTTTATTTTTGATTTTTATGCGTTTAGGTTAGAGAAAAAATATTATGAAGCAATCTAAAAAACGTGATGAGCTTCATTTAATTCTTACCGTTACTCTAATCTTATTATCATCATATGTTTTAAATTTCAGATAAGACAATTTTATATGAATTCGTTTCCATCTCTATTGAGCGTTCAGCTACTCAAATTAAGGTTTGTTTGCAGTTCTTTGGTTGTTTCATGTGATATATTGTATTGCTATGAAATTATGCCAAACATAAATAGATCAATAACCTAATTAGTATTAAGAGCCTGTGATTGCAAAAATTGCTGGTGATCTGGTCTCATGAGAAATAAAACCGCTATTTGAGCTGATCTGTCCATCAATAGACCTCTTGCAGCACTTCGGTATGCAGCTCAATTTTGAAGGCAAAAAACAATAGGTTTCCAATTCTCAGAAGATTGGAAGTCTTTTGTTTTGTCTTCCAATTTGAGCTTCTTTGACATCACGCGCAAGGGGTCGATATAGCACAGTACAGAAACACGATCTATAGGCGAATATAATTATTGCTATATCATTCTTATAATGATTGAATTTAATTTTTATGTTAGCATCACTCGTTTAGTTGATGGACTCGTCTCATTAGTTCATGTTTTTCCTCTCTAAAGCCAAGGTAGTGTCGTTGCTGTTAAACTTGACTTCCGGTCACTTGAAAGCGAGGAATTGGTTGATCTTATGGAAAGTATTGAAATTAACAAGACTATAAAGGAGCTTGCTGTCAAACTTATCAATGCAACGTCGGACGATGGTAAAATAGTTTCACTAAAGTTTTATAGTATTAAAGAAATGTAGTATTAAATGGAAACATATTGGGATAATAAGAAAATGAAAAGGGAAAAAAACAAGAAAAGAAAATGAGGGAGGAAGGAAGGGAGGCCAAATCAAAGAAATTTGGTTGGTGGAATATAATTTTTTCTTCCTTTTAAAGTTGTCATCATTTATGGGTTAGTTTCATTTTGATAATTTTCCATCTTTAGTTGATACAGCACTRGCATACTTATCAGCACTAGCATCCTTCCATAATTTTTTTGTTTTTAGTTCCGTTCGCGCCAACCTTATTAAGAGTGGAAAGCCTAGATGACTCAACCATGGTCGAGTGGGATTTGGTTGAGCCTTCGCCCAGTCAAGGAAAAATCGAAGGATACAGGGTATATTACAGACAGCTTTCCTCAAACGTGTGGGAGTTTGAAACTTGTAATAAAGATGAAGATCGCCTGAGCCTGAAAAATTTAAAACCTGGGGTAGAGTATGGTATTCGTGTGCTGGCGTTCTCTAACAACGGAAATGGCATTCCTAGTGATAGAGTTGAAATCTTCGTCAAAGGACAGCCACTGACCACACATTACGTTCAATCGAGTCCGTCTACAGAACCATTATCGACACCAACTTCTGAGCCAGAAAAAGAAATACTTGCCACCACATTGCAACCGGAAGAAGGATCTAAATCTGTTATTGAAAGCATCTCCACAACTGCTCCATCAAGAGAAACTAAAAGCATTACCACAAAAATAACAGACGGTAAAACACTGTCTAGTCCATCTACGCCTCAAGCTGACACATCTACACAACCTACACCAAAATCATATCCTACGCCAACATTCAAAGATGTAACCACGACAACATCAGAAGCAGAAGGAACAGCTACCAGTACAGAAGGACCATCATCAACACCTGGTGCTACCTTCGCAACGGTAGAAACGTCAACTGTAAGTACTGAAACAACGTCATCCATGACAACATCAGAAGCTGGAGGAACAGCTACCAGTACAAAAGGAATATCATCAACA